TTTTTTGAGACGGAGTTTTGCTTGTGCTGCCCAGGATGGAGTGCAGTGGCATGATCTCGGCTCACTGCAACCTCCGCTCCCAGGTTCAAGTGATTCTCCTGCCTCAACCTCCTGAGTAGCTGGGATTACAGGCATCTGCCACCACACCCGGCTAATTTTGTATTTTTATTAGAGATGTGGTTTCTCCACGTTGGTCATGCTGGTCTCGAACTACCGACCTCAAGTGATCCGCCTGCCTCAGCCTCCCAAAGTGCTGGGATTACAGGCGTGAGCCACTGGGCCCAGCCTGAACTTCTTTTCCTACCTCTGGCTGCTGTTTCTAAGTGAGCTCTTCTTCCATTTCCTACTCTTTAAATGCAAGGGGTCCTCAAGTTTGCATCCATTCTGTCTTTTTCCTTTAACCACACCATCTCACTCAACTAACTCATTTTTTCTTATATCTCCATTACCATGTTTAAGAGATGATCCTCCAATCTTTATTACCGAAGCAGATCTCTCTCTCTTTGCTTCCTAATTCAAACTCATCACCCCATACTACATATAGATGTAATTGTAGAGTAGATAATCAAATTCTAACACATTAAAAAATCCATCTCAACATCTTTCTACATCTCCATGGTCCCTATTTCAATTAATGGCATCTTCAACTAACTTCTTCCAAGCTAGAAACTCCAGCAACATCTTTTACTTCACCAACTCACTCCTTTTATCACTTGGAAAATTTGGTTGATCAGATCTCATCTACTACATCTACCATCTCCTTTCTATTCCTACATGGATGAACCCTTACATTACCTTGTCTGAACTTATACAAAAGCATCAAAAATGGTTTCCTGCTCCTAGTTTCTCCCCTTGCCAAACAAACTTTGTGTTACATCAGCACAGAGTTAAGAGGTTTTACAAGGTGTGTTATGAAAGCTGTCCTTTCTCCCAAACTCCCAATTTCCTGTTCCACAAAGGCAACCTCTTTCAACATTTTAGAAAATATTTGGGGAAAAAATTGTATCTGTACTGAACATGTATGGATTTTTTCTTGTCATTATTCCCTAAACAAAGTATAACAATTATTTACATAGCATTTATGTTGTATTACGTATTATAGAAATCTAAAGATGATTTAAAGTATCTTAGAGATTGATGCCTAGGTTATATGCAAATACCACACCATTTTACATTAGGGACTTGGAGATCCTCAGGTTTTAGTACCCTTGGGAGGTCCTGGAACAGAGTCTCCAGGGATGACTTTTGATTCCTGGCTTCTTTCACTGTTGGCTTAGGATTCAGTTTTGTTAGGTCAGTCACATCAGAGTTAACCTATTTTATGGCTACTTTCTAATTCTGAAAATGCTGTTGTTGTTCTTTCCTCTCCTAATTTATCCTTTTGGGCATACGCTTTGGAAAATCCCTTTATTGTCATTTTAGTGGGATTTGAGGAGGAAATGTCGCTAACAATTTATGTGTTCAACTCACAAATTCCAGAAGTCTGTCAAACTTTGGAAGCAGGTATCATCTAAGTCTATTTCCCTTTCTTCTTTTTTAAACTTTTATTTTAGGGTCAGGGATACACGTGCAGGCTTGTTATACAGGTAAAACTCACGTCATGGGGGTTTGTTGTACAGAGTAAACAGACAACCTACAGAATGGGAGAAAATACTTGCAAACTATGCACATAAAGGTCTAATATCCCAGTATCTATAAGGAACTTAAACAAATTTATAAGAAAAAAACGGG